TTGTATAACCGAAATAAGAGATTTCGTGTTATACTGCTATATCGGATGAGCCTACAGGGTCACACACACAGGAAAGGACGAATGCGCGAAAAGAGACGAGAAAATTCCGGTGGAGCGGAGGCCAGACCGACCGGTCCAGAAGGTCTAGACCGATCGGTCCAGCTAACCCAGACCGATCGGTCTAGACGTAGACCGGTCAGTCCAGAGGTAACGTGTGAGGTCCGGAAATTTTTTCAGACCGATCGGTCCAGACATGGACCGATCGGTCCAGACGTTAAAAAGCTCCAGATCGATCGGTCCAGACGTCGGGATTTACTAAACTCGCTCTAATTAGGGTTTGAAGGTGGGAAAACTTAGGAAAACGCCACCCAACTCTTTTGGCACGAATTTCAGACCCTACGGAGAGGTTTGGAGAGTGAAAAACCTAAGAAAAAGATCCCTGAATCCTTTGCGCAAAGAAGAACGTGTTCTTAAGTACTAGCAGACAAGTTCCAACCGTTGGAATCCTTTCCGCCGTGTGGATACGTGTAGAGGACAAGGTATTCTTCCTGCCTACAGTGATCAGACGAACAGATCAATTGATACAGGCCCCGGATCGATTGAGGTAAGCGTTCTAACGTTTCTACAAGATCATGCATGATAGGTTTTAGGGTTTTATCAAATTTTGTTTTACATCCGCTGCGAACCCTAGAACCGATCTCTTAGGATTAGGATTCGCTCATGAGATCCCAGGAAAACCCAACATTTTCTTTATATCATCATCTAGAACACGTATCTGGTGGTAACCTGATCGTAAATCAATCTTCAAAAACCAACTAGCACCTTGAAGTTGGTCCAATAGCTCATCAATTCTTGGAAGTGGATATTTGTTCTTTATTGTTGCCTGATTCAATCCTCGATAATCGATGCATAATCTCATACTCCCATCTTTCTTCTTAACAAATAGTACAGGAGCATCCCAAGGAGAAGTACTAAGTCTTATAAAACCTTTTCCAATCAACTCTACCAATTGCTTCTTTAACTCAGTCATTTCTGAAGCAGCCATACGATAAGGGGCTCTAGAGATAGGTTCAACTCCCTGTTTCAACTCAATAGGAAAAGATATCTCTCTTAGAGGAGGTATCCCATGTAGATATTCCGGGAAAAATCAGGAAAATCTTTAAAAATCTGTATATCTTCTAGTCTACTTGATGTTTCCGGTCCGTTTAATTCTATTACCGCCAAATATGCATCACTCCCTTGCTGAATTAGCCGGTTTACCCGTACTGCTGAAATAAAAGGCAAACTTGAAGTCTTTCTTGCACCCTCAAACTCTAGTACCAAGGATCCCTCTTGTTCAAAACGAACTCTACCTTTCTTACAATCGAGGTGAACTCGATGACTTGATAACCAATCCATACCCAAAATCACATCGTATCCCTTGATTGGTACCACTATCAGATCAACATGTAAGTCATGTATACCAATCAAGACCGATACATCACGAATCATTCCTTCCGATTCCATTTCCTCTCCACCAGATGTATGGACCAATATTCTACCACTATTAATATCAGGTGCAATCTTCATGCGATTTACTTGTGTGGGCAAAACAAAACTATGTGTCGCCCCTGTATCAAAAAGGTATGAGCTTGTTCACCTCCAATACTCAACATACTTAAGAGAAGAAATGATATGTCCAATGAATTACGCCCATAACTAATTAACAACACCTACATTTAAAATTAGTCTTAACTAGCCATATTTGTTACGATTCCCTATCATATTTAAATGAAATATCGGCATACCTATGATTGCTGCCGTTTCTTCTTCCTCTTGCTCTTCAGTTCCTAGAGCATAGACTCTAGGTTTCACCGCTGGTCTCTTAGCAGCTGGTTGTTGATGAACTGGTCTTTGTTCAATCCTCTTAGGTGCTTCTTTTTTTAACTCGGGACAATCGCTCTTATAATGTCCCGCCCTTCCACAGTGGTAACAAGTGATCTGGAGCAATCTACACTCGCCAAAGTGACGTCTCCCACATTGTGAGCACATCAGGATACCGGATGTATAAGGTTGCATAACCGCCTTACCCTTACTCTTGTCATCTTGGACTACACGCCTATGATTGGGGTTAGTCGATCTCTTAGTAGATGCTTCGATTTCACATTCTGTTCTCTCAGCTCGATCATCCATATCAACTATTTCTGACATCGAGTTGATTTTCAAAAGTTCCACCTATAGATAAACAATCTCAAATTAGCAAGGTAACATTATCTCAATAAGATATATGTGGTTGTTCGAAACCTACCTTTGCCTTGAGAGACGGACGAAGTCCTCTTATGAACTTTTTAAACCTTAAGGTCTCTATTTGCAGCATCTCACCTCCATATCTAGCCAATGCATTGAATTCCCTCTCGTATTCTTTCACTGAACGATTTCCTTGTTGAAGGCTAATAAGCTTCATCGTCATCTACTCTTGTACTCCAGGTGAGTAATATTTCTCTCAATATGCATGGACGAACTGTCCCCAAGTGAACTGATAGTTTGCCCCAAATGGTTGGGAAACTCCTTTCCACCAGTGTCGCGCCTCTCCATCCAGATGGTAGAAGGATATGTGTGCCCTAAAAAGATCAGGACACTGGATAAGTTCAAATATCTGAGTCATCCTGTCCAACCAATCCTCGGCCACAGCTGGATCAGATGTACCACCGTTGTGATAACCCCGACTACGGCAGCGATCCATAGAGGGTTATAACGATAGGTTTTGTTTTATAAAAGAGTTTTGAGCTAAGTCTGAGGGGTTCTGAATGGTCCTAGAGTCTGAACTCGTTTTAAAGAATCGAATAAAGAATAGTCAGTAGAAGAACGTGAATTAATAGATTGAGTTTTGCTTGAGTTGAATGTTGATTGAATTTATTTTCTATTTGATTGTCTATGTTGGGTACGGAGGCGAGGTTTATAGTCTTGTAACCTTACTGAGCTATTTGCATAGCTCACCCCTTCCTTTTTCTCCACAGGTAAAAGGTGAAGCAGATTATTTTGGTTGGATTCGGTAGTTTGCCAGAAAGACGAAGATTTAGAATTTATGTTTTCTTTATTCAATTTATTCATGAAATTAATATTCAGACTTAAGTTATTAAAATTCATTGTTTTAGACTTCCGCTGTAGAGCCTGATTTGGATGGTTGATTTTAGAATAATCGCAGATAAATACCTGTACTTTTACAAAACTCCCAGATAAATACCTGTACTATAAAATTCCCAGATAAATACCTATACTTTTCAAAAGTCCCATATAAATACCCATACTTTTAAAAAGTTACCAAATAAAACATATATCGTTGGCGGGGTTTAACGTGTCACTGTTCAACGGTAAAAAATTGATGATTCAGCTTTATTAAATCCGACTAAGCATCCACGTGTTTTGCCACATCGGACTAACCGGTTCAATTAATCGGAACGGTTTAACAAAAAACCAACCCGGTTTGGTAAAAAAAATGGAAACCCTAGATTTTTATAATTCTCATCCTCTTCCCACGATTTAGTGGCTTTCCATTTTTTCCATCTCCCCAGTCCTCTCACTTTCTCCTCTCTGTTCCTCATCGACTTTCTCCTCCTCCTCGAGTCGTCGCTATTCTTCACCGTCGGCCTATCTCCCGCGTCCTACCTCGTCGGTTCTTAGGTAAGTGTGAATTCCATTTTCAAAATTTTAGGGTTTATGTTTCTTAGATTTCATATTCATGTTGATATTTGAGTGGTACGCTTTTGTTATCCTAGATTTAAGTTTATGTTGAGTTCTTCTTTGTGGTTGGATTATGTTAATTGATGAGTTTCAGATTGCGCTGTTTGCGGAGATTCAGATTCATGAGTTCGACAGATTCACAAGTTTGTTGCAGTTCTAGATCAACCAAACAAAAAGGAATACCACAGCAATGTGAATGTGGACGCTCCATTACAAAATTGATATCGAAAACTTAAAAAAAACCCAGGAAGATTGTTCTTATGTTGTGAATCACAAGAGGTTAGTTTTACATTTGTTTATGCGATCTAGGAAGAATGGTAAATAAATTACGATGATTCGTTTCAGAGAAATTATTCACACATGTGGAAATGGGTCGATGAAGCCATTATCGAAGAACTACAATCATTGAAAGAGGAGATGAAAGTTCGAAATGAGAAGATCAAAGTTCGGGACGAGAAGATCGTAGTTCAAAATGAGAAGATCGAAGTTCGTAATGACAAGATTGAAGTTCAAAATGAGAAAATGAAAGTTCGGATTGATAGAATCGAAGCTAGAGTTAAGAAGATTGAAGCTCAGGTTGAAGAATTCAAAGGAAATTGCCAAAAAATGGTCATAGGAATGATGGTTTTTATTTCGTTTGGGTTGTATTATTATGGTTTATTGAAGGGGTGAAGTCGTTTATGTGTTGGGATTTGTCATGGACTAATGTTTCTATGTTATTATTGGTATTAATGTCAGGAATCTATGTTTCGTTGTTCACTTGTTTTTTTTTGTGTTGGGATTGGTCAGAAAAAAATTATAGAAATCACAAACATGTGAATTCATTAATCTGAAATCTAAACAAAATACATAGATATGCCAAAAATTCAGATTGACAAAAAAAAAACAACCCAAAAACAACCGATACAGTATTCTAAACCAAAAACACAAAGAGGTCCGATTCAGAATTCTAAACCAAAAACCCAAAGACTACCGATACAGAATTCTGAAACAATAGTCAATACAGAATTCTGAAACAAAAAAGAGTAGTCAATACAGAATTCTGAACCAAAATATAAACTCCTAATATCCGAAACCTATTTCACTTGTTTCCCGGGTTTGATGGAGGAGCTGGCCTTGGAACCTGAAATACTCTACCCATATATGGAGTAACAAATATCATGGAAGATGTATTTCGGTTACGCGGTCCTCCAAGAGGTCGAGTTGATCGATAACGAAGACGTTGTGAAGTTGAAGGACCACTCTGGTTGGATTGGACAGAAGGCTGATTACTCTGGCTGGATTGAGTAGGAAGAGGCATTTGTTGAGTTGATTGGGCTGAGGGATGGTTCTGTCTTGGTCTAGGGTGACGATTCTGTCTAGTTCTTGCAGGATGAGCTTGACTCGATGGACCAACCTGGACAGAATTTTTACTCGATTGGACCGAATCGACAGAAACATTGGTCGTTGTTCTGGTTCTTTTTTATGGTTCGGGCTGTCTTGATTGTCCACTGACCTATTTACACAAAGGAAAAAATCGATCAGTAGTTTATTACCGTTTAAAAAAATCTATGAAATACATATACCTGTAATTTTCTTGGTCTTCCTCGTCCTCGTTTCTGGACATTATTCTGCACCGGATCATTTATACACGTGCTTGTATTATGCCCAGGCTGCTTACACCGACTACATGTCATTACCCTTCCATGACGTGTCATATGACCTTTCTTTGTAGGAGATTCGTGAGGATCCTTTTTCCGATTATGTTTCCTCGGTCGTCCGAGTACACCGATAGGTTCTTTTCCCAATTTCCGCCACAGTGGCTCTCCATTTACTGGTAACAGATTTTTCTCATATGTTTGTTTCCATTTTGATGTCAGAAAAAACTCTGAAGAAAACCTGTAACAAATTTTTCTCAAAATGAGGATTACAACTTATAGTAAGAAACTTACTCAAGAATAGTAACAAGCATACCTTGTAATGTCGTCTTTTCTTGCATTGAGCACACATAATGCATGTTCACATGGTAATCCGGTTAAATTCCATCTCCGGCAAGCACAAGTCTTCCCACCAAGGTCTACGGTATAACTTATACCGAAATGTAAAACTTCATATTTGCCATGTCCACTTGGTATCGCCATACAATAGACTGACCTCTGTCGAACAACTTCGATGTCGTCCATTACATCTGGTGGAAATGGAGTGATACAAGAGCTGGACTGGCGTTGCCGCTTCGCAATTCTTTGCATTGTTTGTCGCCTGATACTTTCCAGCATGTCAATCATAGGTCTCATACGTGCTTCTCTGATTGACCCATTGAAACTCTCCGACAAATTGTTGTTTACATCATCACACTTGGAGTCAAGACTAAAGAACGCATGTGCCCATTGTTTCGGTCTAGAACGAATCAATGCCTCATATGCCAGCTGATTATAATTCTTTACAGCTTCCATATGCTTTTGAAACTCACCCTCATGGAAACTGTTAGCAGCTGCCCAAAACAATCTCTTGAGCTCCAAATCTTTGAATGACTTCCTCCAATTGGCATATATGTGTCGAGTACACATACGGTGATGAGCAAATGGAAGTATATCCTCAATAGCATTTAACAGACCCTAAAAGCAAATACAAAACCAAAGCCATATAATGCTTGTTCAACAAATTACATATAATGAAAACAAATAAACACAAACTTCACCTTCAGTTTATCTGAAAGTATAGTAATATTGTGTCCTTCTCCCAATTCTAAGTCTGCTTGTAATTTACGTACAAACCAAGTCCAACTATCGGTATCCTCCACGCGTACAACTGCCCATGCTATAGAATAAATCTGGTTGTTCGCATCTCTTCCAACAGCAGAAAGGAGTTCTCCTTTAAGCTCCCATTTCAAAAAACATCCATCTAACCCGAACACAGGACGACAATGTTTCTTCCAAGTCTCACGTAAAACCTCGAAACATACATAAAATCGATCGAAAACGAGTACACCTTTCTCAAGTTTTGTCACAATTTCAGTAGTTGTGTTGGGATTTGATCTCCTAAGCTTCGCTTCATAATCCCATAACTTTGCAAACTGAACTCGTTGATCCTCCATTAACACTCCTAACGCAATCTTCCGAGCCTTGAAACACTTTGATAATGACACAGTCATCTCACAAGCTGTTTGCAAATCATATTGCATCTGAGCAGCAGGGTATGAAGGTTGTCTTCTGAGCATTTCGGTAAACATGGCTGCGATGTGCCTCATCGTCAATA